TATATATATCTAGAATACAGCTATAGTGTATGTATGTATGTATAAACATATACATATGCATGAATATATATATATATATATGTGTGTGTGTGTGTTTGTGTATGTATGTATGTATGTATGTATGTATGCATGCATGTATGTATGTATGCACGTACGCACATATGCATGTATGTATGCATGTATGTATGCATGTATGTGTTATATATATATATGTATGTATATATATATATATATATACGTATATGTATATGTGTATGTGTATGTATATGTATATGCATATGTATATGCATATGTATATGTATATGTATACATGTATATGTGTATGTACATGTATATATACATATATATGCATGTGTGTGTGTGCATATGCGTATGCGTATGTGTAAGTGCATGTGTAAGTGCATGTGTAAGTGTATGTGTATGTATATGTACATGTACATGTAGATATATATGGATATGTATATGTATATACAGTTATAATTATAATTATACATATGTATGTATATAAGTGTGTGCGCGTGTGTTTGTATGTGTGTGTTTGCAGTGTGCATAACAATACTTAATATGCAAAAGGATAAGAATTATTCAACACAAGATTACGAATCTAAATATAACTACAACTACACTTATACAACAACGATAATCGAAGCTTAATAATCGTGATACTAGCAGTAATAGTAGTAGTCGTACTAAGAAGAACAAGAACAAAACTGATCGCCATTATACTGATAATAAGGCTAATGCTATAGATTGTAATATCAATAACTTCCATACATGGAATCAAGACATAGGCAACAGTGAGCGATACAGCTACTGGAATTCGAGACCCGGCAAACTGGCAGGAGATTCCATTAGCCCGATAACCCAAGCAGTGGTGCAGGAGTTCAGGTCTAGGTTTCCAACCATGGCTAATACCAATGTCCATATTTCTACTGCTATTCATGTGCGACTACTACTTTTATTGGTTTCGTTGTCATCCTTATTCACGTTCCCCTTATTATGCACAGCTCTGGTTCCGGTCGACGGCAGAGCCGGCCCAGCCTGTCCTACCAGGCGTGGATACTCTTGGTTAAGGCTCGGGGCAGTTCTGAACTATGATTTCGAGTGTCCCTCCTAAGGGGGTATAGCAAACAGAATTTGCCAGCAGCAACTGATGGCTGGATAGCAAGGCGTGTTAATGCTGGCAAGCCTTAGTAGAGCCTAGCAAGCCTTAGTAGTTTGGTTTGTTCGGATTGCAAACCCCTGCTAAGGCCCAGTAAGGATAACAGGGCGGACCAGGGCATAATGTTGGCGTTGAGCGCTCGTGAGCACTAGTACAGCTGAGCATCGCTCTCCAAAGCTTGTACTACTGAGCGCTAGTGAGTGCTAGTGCGTGCTGGTGCGGCCAGGTCAGTTTACGGTGGGGCAAGCAAAGTTCAATCGTTGCTCTTCTGGAACTACCTCAAGAATGCTACCAGTAGATTCGGTTTAGGGCTTAGGGCCCAGATTCTCGAAGCTACTGAGCCTGTTGTGGAATGAGAACTTGCGGTTCGAAGAGCTTGGGACATTCAGCCATCGGCCTGTGCGGCACCACGGCCGCTCCCGCGAGACCGCCCAGCCTTGAGTTGAAGTCAATCAACCAATCAATCAATCAATCAATCAATCAATCAGCCAATATCTATAAATATATGTATATAGAGATATGTATGTATGCTGATAATTATACCTGTAAATTTGACTGCAATTGTACTAGTACGTGATCATAGTAGAAATAATCGTAACAAGCAATAATCATTGAAGCCTCAGCCTGCACTCCTCCCAAAACTTGCTATTCAAGGACAGGCCCGTGACACCATCTATCTTGACTGTAACAAGACCAAGACAACCAAAGCATGCCGCGGCCCAAAAATTGCCCTTTAATGCTAGATACTGATAAGGCCACCTCCCTGCGGGACCAACTGTACGCGTTTGTGCAGCATCGTCCACGGCTCTGATGTGGGCAGACCCAAAGCCCCAAAGCGATGCGCAAAGCCTGTAGTCATAATACCATAGTCGAACGGCTGGCATTCAGGTCACATGAAACAAACTTTCGGGATCCTGACCCTTACTGCACACGCCCGAGTCTCTGCCATCCGCCTGAGCGTAATGGGGCTTTGCTGTGCGTGCAATGCTCGTGTGCAAGGGTGTTTTGAAAAATCTTGTACTGTTTCCGAAGGTTTGATTGTGCTTCGGCTTTCGCAGGTTCGGAACGGCATGGGTTGGTGAACTGTGAGTCAAGGCACAAGAGGTGGTGAATTCATAAAAGCTTCACATCCAGGGCTTGCCGGCTTATCTGACTGGATGCCCGCGTGACGAGCCATATGGGGTGCGCTCAGACACAACCTGCGAGGAAACTAAGGGTCTTGCACCGTGGCTTCGAGAAAACACTCAATTCCAGACTAACTCCTGGAATCCACTATTCATGGAAGCCGCTACTGGCAAGGCCAAGCATTATAAGCCTTTCGTGAACAAACCTCTTCGCAAGAGCCTCCCCCTTTATCGGGCCGGGCATCATGCAGTTTCAGCTCTACCATGAGCACAATTTAGCTGAACACAGTGGGAAACGTTGAATTTGTCCTGTACCGTATGATGGTGGGACTCTACAAGGTGACGTTGCCTGTTCGCCACAGCGCCCGATACCAAAACCGCTGCAGAAGCCGCAAGCGCAGACGACACACCTTGCTGCAGCAACCCGTGCGAGACTGTCTGTCTTGCACGGCCGGCAACATGTCATGGGATCCTGTCACTTCATGTGTGCTTCGGTCTGCGGGCTGTTGACGTGGAAACATGCTCACTCGTGTCCTCATGCTACTTGGCTCATAGACAATGGCTCAACGAAACTAGCGAAAACCAGGCGCCTCTGCTTCGCTCCAGAACTTCGTGCTTTGCCCACCCGCGCTTGGAGGGGAGCCTATGCAGGTCATTCTGTACGGCTACTAGCAAACACTGGCAACTCCAGCCATCGTACCCGCAGCCCTAAACCGTGTCTCAGGAAAGCTGTAAACTCTCAGCCCTGTTGAACTGGCCTCGCGACAGATAGCGTAGGCGTTGCACCCACGGCAAACGCCTGCTGGAAATGGGACAGGGACTAGGCTGTGTTGGGAGCCCATGCGAGTCAGGATGGTGCAGGTGCCACCTAGGACATGAGCACCCGTGAATGGATTTGCACCACTCCATAGCATAGATCCAACCTCGGGGAGGAGCGCCATTGTGTAGAAGGAACTTTGGCAAAGGAAACTACCACGTTGAGATGCTTAGAAATTTGATGAAGCTCACTCTTTGAAGCACTCCCACATGCTGCACACATGAATTCGTGAACTATGAAACTAAGTCTACGTTAATCTACGCTTGATTCCAACCAGTACAAGTCGAAGTTGTTTTTGCATGTCAGAATGACTGTCAGAAGCGACGAGCCAAGAATGCAGCCAAGAAGTAGCGGATAAATACGCGAACTCCTGCTGGCATTCGACCTGCCAAGGCTAAAGCAGGTCGGGCTCCTGGCCATTGACCAAACTTCGCACAACTTCGGGCTTTCACTCCCAAAGCAGCCCGTTGAACTGGGACTTCCTCTCTTTTCTTGATCTCTAGAAAAGCTGCTTTTTTGCGCCAGCTTTGGGCGGCTCTCCGGTCTGGCCCAATGGCAAGGCCCCGGGCTAGAAGTTTCGGATGTTTCGGCGACGATTCCTGCGCAGAGGCGTCCCTGTTACAAACAGAAGCTCGGCATGACCGAAAGCAAACGCTGCTGCCAGTATTTGGCGGCTCTGTACAGTTGCGCCTTGCGGTGGCGGAAAACGGGAAGAACACGTTGGTTCAAGAGATTGCCCTTGCAGCTTTCAACAGCTTTCTTCCACAGCCGGGCTTTGCGGGAGCAGGGGTTGACTCCTCTCACGGCAACGAAGAGTTTCTCAACAGGTGCTTGAACGGCGTGCGCCCTGACAGCAGGGCTTCAGATCCACCATGAGCACATGTTCACCTGTGAATTTAGGACAACCACGACCGTCCATGAAAATCTCTGCCCAGATCCGCTTGTATTGTTGCACATCATGCTAGCACCCCGATTCTGTCCCAAGCAAAGCGCATTGCCCACAGCGGTTCCCCGCGTGCAAATTTTCGCCCGCAGTGTCGTGCTCAGGCAGAGTGGGAGTCGAGGTGAGACGCACAAGATGCGCTCTGCGAGTTTCAATGACGAAGAATCAGAGCGCCAAGTGCAAACCACAGCTTTTGCGAGCACATGATGACAAGACGACATTTACCACCTCCGTCTGCGTACCATTGAGCTGATTTCTACAGAAAACACACCTCCTGCTCCATCGCGGGGCACAAAGGCCGGCAAAGAAAGCCATGGTTGGGAAGTGCAGAAGCTGTTGCGCCCAAAGAGAGCACGGCCGATTCTAAGTAACCGGACCCTGAACCTTTCGTACCCTGATAGAAATCACAGAGAAACTTGTGTAATTGCATGATCTTGCGTGGCATCCAGCCGCATCCTCTCCTCGATGCTTTTGCAGCGAGGGGGAAAGCTCCTAGGTCCTAGGTGTCCCTGCTGGCACTGAGATAGCAAGCCTTGGCTCCTACTTTTGTATCTTATAAGCACAGGAAGGAAGGTCGACTCTTCTGAGAATCTATGTTACGTCTTTTGTGTTCAGTGCCGGGGATCCAACTGTCCCCGGAAGGGGCACGAAAAGGGTGCGAATGTAAGCACAACGATCATGGCACATGCGCCACAGGGCCAAATCTCTTTGTCAGGCGGGAGGTATTGCTAGCCTGGGCTGTTTTCCCTTCATTTTTGCCATGCCTTTGGCCATGTGGGCATCGGGTCTTGGCACCCCGGTATCCGAGCTCCAAGCCTGCCCTTCTCACCCTTTTGTTCTCGGTCTGATCGGGTTTGCCTTGCGCTCCTCTGTGCGCGATTTCCACGGCTGAGCCAGAACAGGACAGGCCCGAGCAAAATTCGACATGCCTAGGTTCAAAGCATCCTCAGCCGTTTAGTCAGCCTTTGGCCCCATCATCTTCAGGCGTGCATTCCTTAGATGCAGCAACTGTCCGGGAACTGAGCCAACAGGCAAAGCCTTCTGCAATGGTAAGCTACTGAACTCATTGGCATCTTCCATACAACAGCATACTATCACATCAAGAACGGCAGTTGCCTTCCATGCGCTGGAACGAGTTCTCGGATGCCATGCGTATAACATGCAGACAACAGCTCAACCAATGTGGTCTGGGTTTAGGCTTCGGAGTAGGAGCAAAAATTCCAGTCTTCTGGTGCTCTGCGACCATGTGGCTCTTCCCGCATAGCCGCATTCTCGCGCCTCTCGCGCCGAGGATTTGGGAGAAGTCGGGTTGCGACTCGGTACACTTCTCCAGTTGTGTTTCCGCGCACACGCGGACACTCCAGGCGATGTAGGCTCGTTGTGTCTGTAGGATGTAGTGACACTCGCTGAGTCCGGTGTCCTAGCCAGGCTTCATCGGAATCCGTCTAGACTGAATCCATCTAGAACCAAGGTCAACCAATTCCATCCAGAGGACTCTGGCACGACGGCAAGCGACAACCTTCTCGCTTTCTCAACAAAAACAAGACAAGCTCGGTCTATACACGATGCTTGTCCGCCCTGCAGACACTACTTGCATCCTATCGGTTGTAGTAGATACCGGGCATGATAAGCCAGGACTGCCACCGGAACCGAAACTGAACCCTAAACCCCAAACCTTAAAGCCTGCAAGAGCTCTAAATCTCCGGATTCCGAGCCTGAAGCGCTCGTTGCGCTCCCGGATCTTCTTTTCAAGGTCTGCAAGGCTCCCACCAGCGAGGTCCTGCAAAGGGTCCTCCGGCATAGGCGCTCCCTGGGTTTATGCGTCTTAGTCTTAAACTTGAACTGCAGTTTGCGTGTGTCACACTGTAGGGTTCAGATGAATTTGGGGTGCCTCATCCTTGATTCTGCAGGACTCGGCTCTGCTGTGACGGAAAGCAAAGAAAAGCTTACGACCGTTTAAACGTGCCTCTTGGACAGACTCGGAACGGCAAGCAAACAATATGCAGATACATATGTATGTTACCCACACACACATATATATATACACACACACATCCGTGCATAGAAACATATGAACACCGCAACCCATACAAGTGAAAGACGCGCCAGGAGGAGGGTTTCGGGTTTAGGAACACTGACACTCACCTCCTAAGACACTTCAAGTGTCCCCCCCGTTTGAGGAGTCGGTAGAGACCCTCTGAGTCAAAACCCTGCACCGGGAGGTCTCTGCAAGCGGCCTCTGGCTTGATGGTGGTGACGGTTGTGGCACCGAACCTCGGGGGCTGGGGGGCCCAGGAGTGGGCTCAAAGAGGCCCCCGGCCTAGTTGGGCCCAGGGGTCGAAAGCTCTCCAGGCTTCGAGCTTGGAGTGACTTGGGGAGCCTTTTACTTCCTCTGCGGGGTTCGTGAAGCAACAACTCCCACAGCACTTGCAGCGCGCTACTCAGGCTGAGGGCATCGGCTGTGCACAGGATGCTTCCAAGGCGCGTAGATGATCCCGACACCTCTCGCTTGGCCTCTGCCACTTGATGCCGGAGATCCTTGAGCAGCCACTGGTTGGACTACAAAACCACTACAGGCTCAGAGACATGCTCTGACGCCGCAACATGCCATTACTGAGCTTATGCAGGGCTCAAGTAGGGCTGCGGGGCCAAGTACACAGGCAGTGTCCTCGACGTCCTTTCGAACCTCGCTGGACAGCTGCTTCAGGTCCTTCCAAAACAGCTCGCACCAGGTTTGTCAGCTTCACATGCGTTCACCGGGTTCTGTCAGACATTTGCAGAACTGCGTGCAACGGCTATGACAACCGGGTGCTTGTCTTGTGCTGGCTCTCGCCGCCCCTCATCTTGGGGCACATTGAACCTACAATCGCCTTTATGGCTTTGCCGCTGTTTCTGCAAGCACACAACATAAACGGGCAAGAGCCTGCCGAATACAGAGGGCGGTGTCCTGCAACTGTCCACACACCTCGCCTTGGAATTTGCCCAGCTCTTCCTTGACTTGCCTGGCGCGCGCACGTCCCAAGATGCATGGCAGCACGTTAACCCGGCCGGCGGCACCTGGTGATCTCCTGCACTTCGGAAACCAAGGTTGGTTGCGCCGGGGCTGGCTCGGCCTCGGCCGTCTCCTCCTGTGAAGTTGTTTTCTTTTTCGGGGCTTCGAAGCTCGCCAGACCGAGTAACACAGTTCGAAGTACTGAAATGACCCGCCTTGGAGGTCGCAGCGGATTCTGAAACGCCCAATGCCTTCTCCAGGGCACCGGCAGCCCGTGCCTGGCAAGGCACACCGTTCAGAACCCCAAACCTAGGCCTAGGTGCTGCATCAAGCTCCGCACTCCGAGATCACACTTTCGGATTCGCAGTCGCCGGGGCAGAAGGCGTTTCCCAAAGGCTCCCGGAGCCCGAAACCCTGTCTCTTCAAGGCCTTCACGTCATCCAAATCCACCGGCTGCTCATCCTCCAGGCCCAAAGCCTCGGGCTCCAGGAGTGAGGGAAGCGCAAGGCCAGAAGCACACCGAATTCAGCTGGGGCTCTTGGGAATGCTTCTGAAACACAACAGCAACCCAGCAACAAGCACGGCACCACTTCAACTTCCCGAAGATAGATTGTGAGGGTGCGTGGGTCTGCTATGCTAGCATCCTCATAAACTTACTCAAATGCTCTCACATTTGGTAGCCTTTGCGAATAAAGGACCCCTCATATAGAGCTAAATGCCATGGTCCTTGTAAGACGGAATCCAAAATCATGGTGCCCGTAATTTGTTGAAAGCTCTTGTAGGGGAGTACCGGAACCCTGGAGTTAACCCGATGCCTGTTCCATGCCTTTCTTGGATAGCTACTTTCGGAACCGGGCTCCCGTTGTCCGAATAAGAGGCCCTGCCCTTCACCTAGACAGAGGGAGGCCCATCAAAGACGGCCCATAAATTCAAGAACTCCACATGTTCCGCCGGGCGAAGGATCCTCAAGCCCCAGCCTTGTGCAGCGCGTCGCAAGCTCTGGCCTGCAAGTTCCAACTCCAGTCTGGAAAGAGTATGTAATGGTCTCGCGAGAAGCACCCAGCATTATGTTGCTTTCACAACGACTGCTACTGCTACTCTCACTGCTTCCTGCTTCTGCTACAGCTAGGATTTCGGCTGTAGCTGTAGTTCCTGTCGCTACCACTTGTCATGATGCCACAGCAGCCGTAACAGTAGCACCAGCCGTAGCAGTAGCATGGCAGTTGCAGTAGCAGCAGTTGTTGTTGCAGTCGTTTTCCGGCAATAGTGCTAGCAGCAAAGCCCTGGAGCCATCGTGGCAGTAGTGGGGGAGGACGCACAGTAGAAACATCAACCGCAGCAAACCCGCCACCATCGTGGTCATCGCCTCATCGCCAACGCAGAAGCAGCACTGTTCGTCGTCCACGCTGCGTTCACAACCGTCCCCATGATCATCCTCCGACCCACCGCCATCGCCACCATTCCCAACACCGTCATCTCCGGGTGAAAGTTCGCCAACAGCAGGTGCCACAGCATTCGCGTTGCACGATGAATGAATGCGACAGGTACATGCACACAGAAGCGAACATTGCCGATGCGGGTAAAACGAATGTGAAGTTATCAAGGACTGCAGACGAAATCGCAGAAGTTGTAGAAGGACTATCTCCGGGGCGCCTTCACATCCTGAATGTTCAGTTCGGCTTGGTCTTCCCGCGGAGGCGGTGCTGGTGGTGCCATTGCCTCCCACTCAAGAAAGGGGTTGGCTGACATGCAGGGGCGGTGCTCCAAGCTTGTCTCTTGACGCTGCCACGAAACTGCCGCAAGTTCAGGTAAGCTTTCTCATGCTTTTTTGGAAGGATGTTGCAATGCCCTCGAGAATCCTGGGCATTTGAGCCGCAAAACCCCCAACCGCTCCCTTCCCACCTCGGGCTCCGGGACAGCCTTCAACGGTGCTGCTTCCGGGGTGGTCTCTTCCGGATCCTCTGCAAAGCTCGTTATGACCCACGTTTTGCCAAACTCTTGAATTGCCGTGCAGGAGAGAAGGGCACGAGTCCGAGTGTATCTCAAAGATCACAACATCACACTACGAGGGGACAGAAGCAGGGAAAGCTCAAGTTTTCAAAGACACAGGGAACAGAGACCCACGAGCTACACAAGCATTCAGCGGACCAGCTGGAATGATGCGGCTGCATGGTGTGACACCAGATGCTCTAAAGCTTGACAGTACTGGGTATACTGCATCTTGAATACTGGAAATGACGTAGTATGCAAAATCAAGAGCATCACTATGTGTGTGTATATATATATATACGTACATGTATGTATATATATCTGTCTATCTATCTATCTATCTATCTATCTATATCTAAATATACATATATATACATACATATACATACATATATACATATATATATATATCTATCCATATTATATATAGATATTGTTTTGTAGGTATAGATATAGATATACATATACATATAGATATAGGCAGAGACATAGATATAGATATGGCGAAAGATATCAATCAATAAATAAATAAATAAATGTGTGTCTGTGTGTGTCTGTGCGTTTGTGTGTATATATATATACACAGACGTACATACATGCATGCATACCTACATACACACATACACATACACACATACACACATACATACATACATACATACATACGTACGTACCTACATACATACATACATACATCCATACATACATACGTACATACGTACATACGTCACATACAGACATTGACATACATACATACGTACATAGGTACACACTCGAACCTTCATACATACATACGTGCATACAGACATACATACATATATACATACATTCACAAATACATGCACGTACACATACCCAGACATACGTACATACATACATACATACGTACATACTCACATACATACATACATACATACATACATACATACATACATATATATATATATATGTATTTCTTTTTTTGGTTTGAGTGTTTACTGCGGTGGTAGTCCTCCATGGCCAGGGCCTTCACCAGCGCGTCAGCAGCCTTTTCCTTGATGGCCTTGACATCCTGATGTCAAACAGCATATACATACACATATGCGTGTGTGTGTGTATATATATATATGCTTTTATTTGTGTATTTATTTGTTTATTTACTTACATATTTTTATTTGTGCAAAAACATGTTTATACGTATACATATTTTTTTTTAACGGAATCCTAGGGAATAGTATTTGCTCTCTGCTTCACTAACCGGGTCCAAAACAGGTCAATCTTTCTCAGATAGACCGAGGGCCAAAGTTCTCTCATTTGGCTATCCAAGAAGATGGAGCAGGGGGCAGGAGCAGGAGAAGGCGCAGGACCAAGAGCAAGAGCAGAAGCAGCAGCAGCAGCAGCAGTCAGAAATGGCAGATGAAAAGTGCGCATATCACAGCATGAAGTTGCGCACTCACTTCTATGCAGCAACTCAGACCGCGACGCAATCGCGACCCCAAATGCATAAATGGTTGCACATATCAGGCATGTCGGTTTGCATGTACGTATCTCTGCTTACGTACATATGCAAACACATGGGCCAGCACCTCTCCCCATCCACTGCACGCCTATGACTTTCTGAAGCAAGTGTATGAACAGGCACGTTAACTGACATGTAAAGTATATGTTTATCCATATACAAATACTCACATATGTGTATACACGTATAGCACTTTATGTACATATATATATATAATTATATATATGTGTGTGTGTGTTACATATACGTGTGTGTGGGCACATACACACCTGCGACCATGCACGCGTCGGCTCCTGTCCCAACATACATATTCCAGGTACATACACAGACACACACACACACATTCATTTGTGTAGTTTGTGTGTGTACATATGTACATACACACACATATGTATGTACGTACGTACATACGTACGTACGTTGTGCACAACGTACGTAGGTATGTATGTAAGTATGCATGTATGTATGTATGTACATGTGCATGTGCATGTGTATGTGTATGTGTATATGTATACGTATATGTATATGTATGTATGTATATGTTGCCGACTATAGAAACACACATCTATGCATGCATATGTATATATGTACTAGCCTATGTTTCTACCGTTTCCGTAGGTTTCGGTTTAGTTGCTTCTTCATGTGTCTTTGTGGTAATATCATAACTCCTGCTATCGCATCAAATCATGAGTTCTGCTGCTTTCTATCAGTCTCTGCTTGCTTCTGGTTTATGCGCTTGCACACGCTTGCTATTCGTAGAGGCACCTGGCCCTGCTCGGTGCTGCAGTTGTCAGCTGCCCAACCCGCCAGCAGACCGGCCACCTGCCGTCAAGCAGACAAACAGCATTGGCATCGACAACCAGAACAGCGGTAGGAATGGTAACAAAACGGCATCATGATGATGATGTTGATGATGTGATGGGCCATCATTGCAATGGCAGGGTGCTTGAACCTTGTAGGTTCAATCGATCCCATCTTGGCTTCGTAGGCACTGCGAATCAAGCACCCCCCCCGGAACATGTGGGAAGCCCCGCGATTGCAAGGCGTTGCGCAAGCTGCCTGGGTCTTGCTCTGCAAGGCTGCCTCCAGACTTCCATCTGCACAGGCTGCCAAGAGGGTGTCCTGGCAGAGAGGCTTGTGATTCAAAGCTTCTAGGCGAGGACTAACCTGGACCCAAACCCCAAACCGAGGCAGCTTGCAGCGCTAGGCATGAACATCCAACAGCTCGGACTCAGCTGCATGAAACTTTGTCGGTGTCCTTGGCCTGAACGCGGAGATCCTCGCGGGGGAATCGGTGAGGTGAGTTTCTGTAGCCACTCAGAGATCACGATCAAATCTCAGGACCAAAAGCATTTCTGGCTAAAGACAGCTGCGTCTTGGACTGGCGCTGAAGACTGACGGAGCGCCGAACCGCGTTGGCAGAGTGGACGTCACCAAAACCAACGGAACGGCGAAGATCAGTCCGAAGGGATATGACAGGAAAGCCCCACAAACACCCTTCACTCCGGGAGCCCTAAACCCCTAACCCCGGTCCCTCAACCCTCCACAGCCTCCAATTCCTGCTCCTCGGTCTTGGCTGCCTGCTGTAGTCATCGCAGAAGCACAGAAGTGGAACAAGCAACAGCAGTTCAATAGTGAGCTACAGTGATGACAATGATGAAGTCATCTTGATAAGAAGGGCCAAAGATGACAAAAAAAAAAGATAAGACCCATCACGAACCACAACATCTGCATAGTGATATCAAGAACAACAGTGACTGAAATCGTAGCAGCACTCATAAGCAAAGGCAATCACAATCACAAAAGTTGACAGAATAGTAGCAATGATGGCAGCCGGTGGGAAGCCCGTGAAAAGTCACTTGGCATTCCAAATTGGAACGGGTAACAAATGCTTTACCGCTCTAACCAAGCAGAACCATCCTCACAGAGATGAGGCGAATGGAAGGAGCATGGCGGTCGATCCTTCCTACTTCACTCGCAGCATGGAAAAGGCAGGGTGTTGCCAGCCTTTACAGTTGTCATCCAGTAAGACAGGGGGGGCTCAGTGAGCAGGACTGTCTGTTGAGTCTACACCTGCAAATAAGTACAAAATATTTGTGTATGCATATGTATCTATCAAAATAAACAAAGGAAGAGAGAGATGCAGCTCTTTCTCTCTCTCTCTCTCTCTCTACCTCTCTGTACGCGCATCTGTGCATTACCTATGTATCTAGAACGCTCATAAACCCACATACTACACTCCCGGTCTTGCAAGCAAGACCTTGGCGAGCCTCACAGCTTCACCGACAAGTCCTGACAGCCTGGACCTCCTACTAAGACGAAAGAATCCCGAACCGCGACTCCGCCAACCCCGAACCCTAAAACCCTAAACCCCCAAAACCCCAAACCCTTCCCCTCAAACCCCGAAACACTACCTGCAAAACATACATACATAAATAAATGCATGCATACATACATACATATATCATCTACATGGTCTTTCATCTGTTCACGTATATGGAATAGGTGTATGCATACATATACACACACACACAAAGGATGTACATGTACATATGTATACAAAAGAAAAAGCAACCTTAACCGCTGGATCTCCTGGGGAGGCGCTGCAGGCTCTGGAGCCAAGGCCTTGCCTTGTCACAATAATTTTCGATTCCGGCTTTAGGGCTTTAGGGGTCTTCTCCCCACCCGCTTCGCTGACTAGGAAACGGCCCTGAAAGACGCGAGAGCAAGTCCCAGGGACGGGAGTGACGTCCTGAGGGACGCAACCGCATGGGCAGAATGTCACTCCCCGCTGAACTCGCAAGTACAGCCCGAGCACGCGACAAGCTGAAGACCTATCCCGAACGACCCCAATGTAACACCCCAGCAACAGCTCAGGTCGCACACCAGGGGTGTCTCTTTTTTTTTTTGGGAGGGGGGGGGGNNTTTAGGGTTTAGGGGTTTGGGGTAGACGGGTTGGGGGGGGTTCGGCGCTCACACTCGGACTGTCCAGGCGAGGCATGTGGTCTTGAGCCGGCGAGCGAAACTATCCATAGCGATGTCAGGGAAAGAATGCCAAAAGGGTTTCGACTTTAGGGCTTCAGGGCCTTAGAAGGCTTTCCGGCTTAGGGTTTAGGCGCTCACAACTCGGGCAATCCAGGTGTAGGGAGGGGTTTTTGAGTTTCGGCACGGGCAAATTTTTGGGTACTCCAAAAGCAACTCGGAGACTCTCGCCCTCGCACATTGCAGGCAAGAGGCCCACGGAAGTTGGACTAATGGTGCTTGCTCTCTCTGTGCATCACTAGCAAGACAATGTGCAAGATCCCAATATCATGCTGCTCTGGTGGCGTTGATACTGCTGGCCACTATGACGATGAAGCTGCTCCTTCTTCCCCTTCTCGTTTATCAACTCTCGCTACGACCGAGCGCCACGCCATCGGAACACAGAATGAACATCGGGACTGCGGGATATTGTGCAACTAGAACAGGGCCA